CCCCGGGCACCCGGCGCGTGAGTGGCCCCGTCCCCGGGCGCCCGGGAGCCCGTAAAGGTTGGGGACCACTGGTATAGGTGGACCCATATGGATCCTGTTGACTTCTGCAAACTCCACATGGGTGTAAGAATTTGCCCGAAAAGAAAAAGTGGCAGGATTGGGGAATTCATTTTACAAGATAGGTAGATCCTTTTTCAAGCTGGACTTTTTTCCTCTCTGTGTTCTATTTTATTTGTGTTTGTGATTTTTTTAATAGGTATTTGAAGAAAGAAGAGCCCTGCTTGGAAAATGGGTAAGGTTTTCTCTTTAAATATATGTATTTTCAGAACAAATGAAGAGATGACTGGGATGTGAATTTTAAACATTTCATATTTCAAATAATAAAACAAATTTTCTGGATGTAAATGTCAGAGGCAGAAAGACTGTACTGTCGAACCTCAGGTAAAACAAAGTGGCAAATTCATTCCTGGTAGAACTTTGGGGGAGTCATGACCTTGAGAAATCTGTCCCAGTTTTTAAAATGATTTGTAATGGGGTGGGAAGCCCAAAGAAAAGTCTATGAAGAAATCTTCAGCAAAGATACCTGATGTTTATACTGCTATCAAAGGCTAGGAAGGCTTTAACACTGGAAAGAGATAATAAGTATGATTTATCCAAGATACTTTTATGACCCTGTTACCTGAGTACCTGTCAATCTTTTAATGTTATCTTCACAAGATGCTGGTGAGGCAGGGCAGTGCTATGATCCTGGTTTTACAGATGTGGAACTGAGGCACAAAGGGGCAAAACGAGTTGTGCAAGGTCACACAGAGTCTGTAGTGGAGAAGGTAACTGAACCCAACTCCCCACAAATCCCACACTAGCACTCTAAACATTAGAGAAACCTTCCTGTCTTGCAAGGCAAAAATCAAGTGAATGTCACGGTTATGGGAGAACGCTTGTATTGTTCATCCTGCCCTAGGTGAATAGAAATAAACACATAAGAAAGCAGCATCCAGTGAGAATGAATTCAGTGCTGTATATCTGTCATCCTCTCAAAGGTAAATGCAGGTTGAGCTGCATTCAAAACTTTCCAAAAGAATAGGTGTCAGGTATATGGACCCATACCTATACGAATCAAATAGAAGCAAAAAAAAGATGATGCTTATCTCTGTGTTGTGGACCCCACTACTTGCATAGAGCACTATTTGAATAGAGTAGCTAATTCTATGTGTAAAAGGTCACAGGTGCTAAAATCTTTTGTAAATAAGCTGGAATGCTAAGGACAAATATTTTGCATTTAAATTCATTGCGACTGCCGACAATTACAGGAAACGTACCTTGTGTTTCGCTTTGGCACATGTATGTTTAGATAATAAAGAACGTGCTCCAATTTCAGGAAATAAAATAATTAAGTGCTGATTGTATAAAAATGCTTGTTTGCGCCATAGCTCAACAACTGCTGGACACCAGAACTGAATCTTGAAAAATGCAGTGTGTTTCAAAACATTCCAGAAAATCTGAAAGGAAAAGTACAGACTGTCTAGTGTGTGTTTTAGTAGCTACAGGCTGTACAAGTTGAAAAACAGAAACAGCAACCCCTTCCCCCACCCAAAATGCAATGCAATCTGAAAGGTTAAGGGACTGACTCTGCAAAGGCTATGCCAGCAACTTTACATAAGCACTGCACTGTGAACAACATTTACATCCGTGAAAAGTGAGCGTAAAGCACAAAATAGTATGCCCCCCCCATCTCTGCTCATGGCTTAAGAACATGTGGGAGCTATGGCTGGAGCATGCTGGGATTGGGAGGATGATCATACATAACTAGAATGCACCAGGTTCTGATTGTTCCATGATGCTGGACAGCTCCATGGGAAGTCATGATACCACTGTAAGTCCAAGTCTACACTCATAGGGAACGTCAAAGCAAGATACATATTTCCAGCTACGTTAACTGCATAAATGGAGTCGATGTACCTGGTTTCATATTTTCCCGCCATCCCCACAGAGAGAGGCAAACGTTCCTGTCAGCTTCCCTTACTCCTCACACAAGCAGGAGTACCGGCACCAATGGGGTGCCCTCGGAGTTTGATTTAATGAGTCTTAACTAGACTTGCTAAATTGAACTCTGGAAGATTGATCGCAGCAGTGGCGATCTTCCATTTAGTGTAGACATGGCCTAATAGTCCCCAGCCACATCCAAAATTCAGAAAGTCACCTATGGCCCACTCTCAAGGTATGTCTATACTGCAATTAAAAGCAGAAATACCCCATGGCTGGTGATGAGAGAGTAGATCGGCAGGGTTCTGAGTTTCTACAAAGAATTCCGTTCTGGTGTTTGGCTGTTGGGTCTAGCCAAAATGCTCAGGGTCCAACTGAATACCATATTTGGGGATGGGAAGGAATTTCCCTCTGTGCCAGATTCACAGAGACTTGGGGTTTTTTGCCTTCTTCTGCAGCGTGGGGCAAGGGTCACCTGCAGGGTTAAACTAGTGTTAGTGGTGGAATCTCTGTAACTTGAAGTCTTTAAATCACTATTTGAGGACTTCAGTAACTCAGCCAGAGATTAAGGCTACATCTACACTGCAGCGCTATTTCGGGATTCCTGTTATTTCGGGCTTGCTATTCTGATGTCCCTGTTAACCTCATTCCACATTTTGGAATAGTGGGTTATTTTGAAATGTGGCTCTATTTAGACAGCTTCAAATTACAAAATAAGCTATTTTGAAAGAAGTTACACAATTTGTATAGCTCAAATTGTGTATCTTATTTTGAACTATGGTGCAGTGTAGACATAGTGTAAGGGTCTATTATGGGTGGGTGGGTGAGGTTCTGTGATCTACAATGTACAAGTCAGATTAGATGGTCATTTCTGGCTTTAAAGTCTAAGAGTCTTTATAGTGGGGTTGAGTGGGGGCGATTGGCGCAAGAGATGAGAGATTTTCTCTGCTAGAATGTGGCACAGTGGCTGGAGAATCCAGTCCTATGCTAGGTATATTGAGTGCCAGGAACCAAATTAGTGATCAGCATTACTCAAAGAGCCACAGTAATGTGAATTCACTGTGTCATTTTCACATACATGCACACTCATTCACTCGCTCATACATATGTAATCATTCTTGCAGCAAAATGGCCAAATATTCTACAGCTGGTTGATAACATTAGTATAAGCATCCTGATTAGTTCATGACTTAGTTTGGTTAATAATTAAATGACTGTGTTACTAGAATGTGTTGCAAAGGGTAGCAGAAGCCACCCAGTATCACTATTCTAACTTCTGTGAGAACTTAAAAAACAACAAATGGTCCTGCAGCAGCTTAGAGTCTAACAAAAAATGTAGATGGTATCACAAGCTTTCATGGGCACAACGCACTTCTTCAGATGAAAGAGAAGGTATGTCATATGCATACAATCAGGTCTGCCTTCAGTGGTTAGCCTGAGCATACTACATGAAAGGAGTTTTTCTGCAGCTCAAGGAGTAGAAAGAGAGGCCACTAGACCTGGAAGCTCAGCTTAAGGTACACAACTCCAGCAACGTATTCCACGGTGCTGGAGTTGGCTTACCTTAAGCCGAGCTTGGTGGCATCCCCACAGCAGGAGGCCATTGGGAGCAGATGCTCCCATCGACTTCCCTTACGCCTCACAAAAGCATGAGTACTGGATACCTATGGGGATGCCCTCTGAATTTGATTTAGCAAGTTTTAACAAGGCTCGCTAAATCAAACTCCGAAAGATCGATCATGGCAGCGGTGATCTTTCATTTAGTGTAGACAAGGCCTGAGAGAAAGACCATTCTGTTTGGGTCCTGAAGGTCCTTCTTGGTACTATTGCCATTGACATGCTGTGGTATTGCATGTGTGCAGAATTACAGAGCTGTATGTTCACTAGTGCAACACTCAAAACCATTTTATATCACTTAGTCCTTGTTGGGTCATTGCTCTCAAATGCTCCGAAGACAGAAAAGGAAAAAAAATAGCAGCAGAGCAATAGAGAAGGTGCAGCACCTCGCAACAATAAATCCAGTTAAACTGGTTAGATAAATGAAACCAGACGTAAGAGGAGGAGCTGTGATGGAAGGTAAACAAAGGTAGAGCTGTATCATTCTTTTACTTGATAATACTGAAAAAAAAGACAAATTATGCTTGCTTTGCTACTGCTGAATGTAGTGTCTTGGAGAACAAGCTGTGTGCTTCCTGTACTGCTGACCAAATTGCATTAATTTCAGGAGCGTATCCATTTAAAATGCAAGCACAGAAGTCTGCTGACAGGATTAAGTAGTAATTAGGTTAAAATCTGGTAAGAAGTATTTCATCCCTAGAATGCACATGCTCCCATGGGATTCCCATTGCTAGTGGAATGGTCTTCTTACATGTTTTCTAACTTTCGGCCCTTTCTGCTCTCTCCTTTCATATGGGACAGGGCTGACTGAACTTTCTAATCTGAATGGCAAGGATCACCTGTGACAGTGATTCCCCAAAAGAGGTTCCTGCTATTGTCTCCCTTTCCATCTTTTACTGCTTACAAAAAGAAAAAAAAATACTTCATTGCTGCTTCTGAACATAAGCACACTCACCCTGTCCACATGTTCCTAGCCCATCTCTGCTTATGGACAGTCTTGCTTTACTGCTCTCTATTCCAATGAATTTCTGATTGATTGATTACCTAACTGTGCTCTTCTTCCCACAGATAAGGCCAGAACTTAATCCTCTCTGTGCACATCTGTCATGGGCATGTTGGTTGTCCTCGAGGTGCAGAAGAGAGGCAGGGTGGAGGTTAGAATGCTAGCTGGAGTTATGGGTATAAGTCCCTGCTCCTCCACAGAATTTCTGTGTGGCCTTATTTAGGTCAGGATCCTCATTTAGGACTTGTCACGGGGTGGACACTCATCACCATGGTAGCCCGGGGAATTGGCTCGTATCTGCCTGCCGGATGCCTCCCTCTGATTGGTGTCTCTTGGGTCAGTTCTGTACCTGCGTCGCTCGTAATCTGCGGTGTCCTCCTCAGGACACTGCCCTCCGGCAGTGCCCACAATTGCTGTCTCTCATCCCCCTTCCAGGCAGGAGAGTGTGTTTATCAGTCTTTGCACTTGGAGGTTCCCTGGGAGGGGAGGACCCCAGAGTGCAGGGGCACTGACCCAGGGCAGTATGAGGCGGAAAGGGCCCCGAGTCCAGGAAAGGATACGGGGTTGCACCAGCAGGAAGAACTGCCACAGAAGCTAGGAGGCCGACCAGCAGGGGGCGCTCTGAGGCAGGAGAGTGGATTCCCCAAGTGACCAACCAGAGGTGTCCAACAACTGGGTCTCATCGGAGCTGCCACTGCCACAGCCATGCACGTCTCCTTCCAGGAAAGAGGGCGCGTGCACAAAGCAGGCATGCGACTACGAACGAGCCAGAACCCTGAGAGCCGCATTTCTGTGAGCAGAGAGCCACAGGTTGGCCACCCCTGCCCTACACCCTCCTTGCCTCAGTGACCCACTGCCGATCCTCATCTAGCTCTTGCCTCAGGGGCAAACTGCAGTCTCAAATGGCCACTCATTGGCAAGGGGGTGTGGACCTGCTGCCTCCTTCTAGCCTGGCTGTTTCCCCACAGCCCAGTACACTCAGGCCTTGCCGCAGGCCCTGCAGCCTGGGAGTGGAGTGGAGTGAGGCCAGGCCAGGCTAGGCCAGGGCAGGGCTCCCCAGCTCTGCCTGCCTTTCCCCAGCACTGCTCAGTCTCAGGAAGCTCCCAGCTTCTCTGGCAACCAGGTCCCTCCCTGCTCCCCAACTAGAGCAAGAGTCTGTGTCCCTCTGTGCCTCCTGGAGCCCTTATTTATGCAGCCCACAGCTGGGCCCTAATGGGAATATCAGCCTCAGCTGTGGGCTCTGCACCCAACCCTCTTGCAGGGCTGGGTTTTAGTCTTAAAGGGCCAGTGCGGGGCAGATGCCCTGTCACAGGCTCCTAATGCCCATTGATTTCAGGGGAAGTTAGAAACCTGAAGACTTCTGAGAATCTGGGCCTTAGTCTCTTTGGGCATGTCTACACTAGGAAATTATTTTGAAATGAAACAATAACTCCCAAAATAACTAAATTGCAATAGCATGTCCACATTACAGGGAAGCCTTAGAATTAATCCGAGGCAGGCTCCCTTATTGTGGACGCGCTACCTCGACGTAGAGCCCCAGGAAGCAGTGGGGAGTAGTTATTCCGAAATAGCAGCAGTGGAGCATGCACCCTACCTGCTATTTCGAAAGAACTGTTTTGAAATAGTATCAGAGGGGTAGCCATGTTAGTCTGGATCTGCAAAAGCAACAAGGAGTCCTGTGGCACCTTATAGACTAACAGATGTATTGGAGCATAAGCTTTCGTGGGCGAAGACTCACTTCGTCAGATGCTTATTTTGAAATAAGCATTATCCCTTGTCAAAAGCCAAAGTTATTATTTCAAAGTAACCAGCCCATTATTTCGAAATAACGGGTTTGGTCATACAGTCGCTCTGCTTGTTATTTTGAAATAAGGGGGTTATTTCTCAGTAACTCCCTAGTGTAGACCAGGGTTCTGTGTGTCAGCGCCCCAGAAGTAAAATGCGTGTAATAGTATTTCTCTATTGCGCAGAGGTGTTTGAAGGGTAAATGCATTACAAATTCTGGAATGGTCTTCTTACAGGCTCTCAGACGTGACATAATGGTGGCCAGATAGTTATACAGAGAGACTACGTCTACACTGGCCCCTTTCCCGAAAGGGGCATGTTAATTTCACAGGTCGTAATAGGGAAATCCGCGGGGGATTTAAATATCCCCCGCGGCATTTAAATAAAAATGTCCGCCGCTTTTTTCCGGCTTTTAGAAAAGCCGGAAAAGAGCGTCTACACTGGCCCCAATCCTCCGGAAAAAAAGCCCTTTTCCGGAGGATCTTATTCCTACTTCAAAGTTTAATCTTATTTTTAACAAAGTAGGAATAAGATCCTCCGGAAAAGGGCTTTTTTTCCGGAGGATTGGGGCCAGTGTAGACGCTCTTTTCCGGCTTTTCTAAAAGCCGGAAAAAAGCGGCGGACATTTTTATTTAAATGCCGCGGGGGATATTTAAATCCCCCGCGGATTTCCCTGTTACGACCTGTGAAATTAACATGCCCCTTTCGGAAAAGGGGCCAGTGTAGACGTAGCCAAAGTAGCAGTGGGCTTATTCCCATTGAAACACTGTATACTGGATGTTTTTACTTCCAAGAATAATCCAATTGAAGTCAACACCTAGGACTACTTGTAGGGATAAAGAGCCTTTCACACACAAGTATTTCCAGATTTGAGCCGTGGAAGATGGATCTTTTAACTCACATGCACTTGCATTTGCCGTTTCTAGCCTTTACGTTTGTGATTTCCATCCCCTTTGCCCTGGAATGACTCACCAGAAGCAGTTGCACATGCCCTTGCCTTGAATTTTAATCTTATTTTTAACAAGCTGTATCGCAGGTGCCACAAAACTTGCAGTTCTCTTTTTCAGTTTGACAAGTGGACAGACGGTCAGAGGCGGAGGATCCTGATAGACTTGTTAGAACGCTGCTCACTGTCGCAGCAGAAATTCTGTGCCAAGCAGCTGCAGGACCGAGTTCCAGCGGAAGCCCTGGATTTCACCACAAAGCTTCCCAGAGTCTTGTCTTTATACATCTTTTCTTTCCTGGACCCCAGGAGTCTCTGCCGATGTGCACAGGTAAAAAGCAGCACGTATCTGAAACATGAATGCTACTTGCAAGTCAGTGTAAGGAAGCACCTGATTTTTACCATATATCTGTGCTAGCACCCTTCATAGCAGCACAGAGTTTCTCTATAAGTGCCAACATAGAGGGAATTGTTTGGCCATATAATCTAGGGTGAACAGAATTGTTACGAAAGCATGGAGGAATGGGCTAGATGATCTCTATTTCAATTATTCTAGGGTTTAAGAAAGTGTAAACATTGTGGCCAGATTTTCAAAAGTGACTACTAATTTTAGGGTACCTCCATTTTCAGGTGCCTGACTTGTGGCTCCTTAAAGAGGTTGATTTCCAAAGGTGAGGGCCTGGCACTTTCTGAAAATCAGGCCTTTTCAGACACCTCAAGTTGGGCATCCAAAGTCACTAGCTGCTTTTGAAAATCCTGGCCTCTTTGTCATGGCAAAGATACTGTATGAAAAACTTTAACAGGTATGGAGATATACCTAGCTCTTAGAGCTGGAAGGGACCTTGAAAGCTCATTGAGTCCAAGTCCCCTGCCCTCATGGCAGGACCAAGCACCATCCCTGACAGATTTGCCCCAGATCCTTAAAGGATCCCCTCAAGGATTGAACTCACAATGCTGCATTTAGCAGGACAATGCTCAAACCACTGAGCTATCCTTCCCACCTTCAAAGCACCTTTGAAATGCATGTATTGTGCAGTGTGCATGTACTGATGTGTGCTGGCTTCAGGGGAGCAGAAATGCTCAAACTGGAGCTTCTGAATGAGATTCTCAGTGCCGGGGTCTACCAAGACTCTATGTTGTCCATGCATGGCCAGGAGAATTTGTTCCAGCTGGAGTCTGTTCACAGGGAGGATTCCTTAGGCAAATTGGTCACTTCCCTCCTGGCCAGTAATTTCTGAGCAGTCCAAAGGTCATCCTTGTTCAGGGGCCCAGCCAGCATAAGGCCTCTGCCTCAGGTACATGCCACTTACACCGCATTGGCGTGGTCCATGTGTCTTATGCGCGCCTCCGCATGCATCTGGCATATGGGCCACACCAGTGAGACTGATGTGGCCTTTCAGTAGTGTCTGGGGTTGGGGCAGGCCTTGTGCAGAGGAGTGAATTACACCCTTAGTCAGCAGGCCCTGCCCATTTAAATTTGGTGGGTTCCAGGACCTGTGATCTGCTCTTGCGAGTGGTTGACATGGTGGGGTTCAGAGTCTGCTTTCTGTGACGTGAGACTATAAGCTGAAATAGCCATGCCTTTGGCCTTCATAGGTGAGCTGGCACTGGAAGTCCTTAACAGAATTGGATCAGCTCTGGATGCTTAAGTGTCTGCGTTTTGGCTGGTACATCAACTTCTCTCCAACCCCCTTTGAGCAGGGAATCTGGAAGAAACACTATATTGAGATGGTGAAGGAGCTTCACGTGACAAGGCCCAAGGTATAGAATCATAGACTATGAAAATGGGAAGGGACCTTGAGAGGTCATCAGGTCCAGTCCCTTGAATTCCTGTCAGGACCAAGCAAAATCTAGATCATCCCTGACAGGTGTCTGTCCAACCTGCTCTTAAAAATCTCCAGTGCTGGAGATTCCACCCCTCCCCAGGTAATTTATACCCCCGTCTCTCTGGAAGACATGCAATGGTCGCAGAGAATAGCTGAGTGTTAGGATTGCTTGTTTTGGTTTGCGTCTCACCAGACAGTATCACACTCGTCAGACTAGAAAAGTGTTCTCGACATAAAATCACTGCCATCCATTCATTACCATGTGATGTGCTGCTCCACTCTCTCAGCCTCATGGAGAGGCAACTCAGGCACTTACAAGCAATGAGAGAAAATGTGTCCCATTGACTCCTACCCCAGATGTCTCTCCCTGCTCCCCTTCACCTGTCTTTTGGAGGTAATGTTGGGAAGATTCCTCCCCTTGCATTTTGGGCTCTGCTCCCCTCTCCCAATATTCTCCTCATGGTCCCCCTCCAATCCCAGATTTGGCTCTTCTCTCAGCAAAGCAAAAGAGAGACGATTCCCAGCATCACCCTTCCCAACAGCTAATCTGTGAGGATGAGGGCAGTGATCTGAATGATATCCCTCCAAGGCTTTATGGGACACTGGGGTGGTGGAAAAACAAAATGGCTGCACATTGGCCTGCTCTTTGGGTAGGGAGATGGTGGGTGACTCTCTCTCTTCTCTCCACTCACCAAGTGTCATTAGAAACCAAGGTTACCTCTAAGCTGCCCGGCAGCAGGGCCCTGCAGCTGCTTAATGAACCCCGCTCAGGGCTCTGTACACAGAGCTGCCTGGCTGAGGGAGGGACCCTTCTCCCTCAGCTACAGCGACAGCTCACTGCTGAGGACAGAGCAGTGAGTCTTGCCCAGCCGGTAACAAGGGGACTGTCCCTACCAGCTAGGAGATACTCGTCCTCAGAACGGAGCTGCTGCAATAGCTGAGGGAGAAGTGCCCCTCCCCCAGCCAGGCAGTTCTATGTAGGGCATCCCTGAACCTCTAGGTGGGGCTCATTAAGCAGCTGTGAGGCCATGTTGCTGCGCACCTTAGAGGAAACCTTGTTAGAAACCATTAGACAGCAGCACCGTTGTATCCTTCCCCCAAAGCTGGCAGATCTGTCACCTAGGAGGCTGCACATTCTCTGATAAAACGAACAAGCAGCCCTGTGGCACCTTAGAGACTAACAAATATATCATGAGCTTTCGTGGGTAAAACCCATGTCATGTAATATCTTTATTTTGTCTTTCATTGCTGACAATGCCGAGTGGGTGGGACGGGTGTGGCTGGGTACCACGGCTCATTTCCTATATGTGTCTCTCCCACTAGACCCCTCCAAAAGATGAATTTGTGGTCATTGATGTCCAGCCGATCGCAAGAGATGTCCCTGAGGGAAAACTGTCCCTTTCCTCGGTTCTCCGATCAGCATCCGTGCTCGGAAAAGACAAAGAGAAAAAAGAGCTTCCACCATGGCGCTCCTCGGATAAACATCCAACTGACATCGTCCGATTCAACTACTTAGACAACTACGATCCGATCGAGCAAGTGAGGCAGGCGTAAGATGCTCTCACCCTTACTTTCAGGATTTTCAGTGGCATGGGAAAGGTAGCTGGCACTAGGAGGAAGAAGGAAGCTGTTGGTTATGCTCAAAGGCACTTCTGAATATTGCAGCCAGGTTTCAGGGATTGTGCAGCTCTCTTACTAACAGAGAAAAATAAACATACTGCGGGGAAGCTAATAAACACATTAGCCGTGTGGGACAGCGATGATGCAAGAGAGATTTTCTTGCATATCTCTAAAAAAGCATGAATAGCACTTGCTGTTACACTGCCTAGGATAGACTTACAGGACTCATCGGTCCTCACACTTCAGGGCATTATCTGATCACCAGTGAGGTCAGAAAGAGACTTTCCCCCATGGTGTAATAACACACAGCACAGTGCACTGGGGCAGTGACCCGGTTTCTTCTGACACACTTAGCAGTGACTATTAATGGAGAAAGAATAATAGTTCCCTGGACCATTGGTCTCTCCTTGTGCAGCACTTCCTGGGAAAAGAGGCTCAAGACAGCGTTTCTTAAACTGTGTTCTGCAGCACACCGGTGTGTCGCTGAGAACAACAAAATTCAAAATGGCCGCTCTTAAAGGCAGTTTTTAAGACCGAGGAACACCAAACAATATTTTTTTTAGGAGGAACACCAAGACCCTCAATAACTTTTCCCCCAACCCTTTCCCCCCTCTCGACCTTTCTTTCTTTTTTCTTTTTTTTTTTGCTCAACAAAAAATCCTTGGTGTTCCTCATAAAACAAAATTATTGTTTGGTGTTCCTCGGTCTTAAAAAGCTTAAGAAACACTGCTCAAGAGAGTCTTGAATCCCATCTAGCTATACAGCTAGTGTGGAATTCACTCTTCTGTGGTGGATCCACGGCAGTCCTGGAAGCCAGCTGAATCCCAATGAAGCCCTCAAGGTTCATCAACCTTGTTTTGACCCTTTGTAGAGGGGAGAATTTCACCCTAGGAGGTGCATAGCCACTGTGAATTTCACCCCTGCCTAGTAGCTTTTTGGGCCAAATGCTAATCTACTTGCCGGGGTTCTTTCTGAAAATAGTTATTCAGGATGCACCAACCACTACTCCTGGACATTTCAGAAATTCCCCATCTCCTAGTGAAATCCCATGATGGATCATTATCTTTAATCCACATCCCCTCCTCTTAGAGGTTAACACTGCTTCAGAGAGCTTTCTGCATTCATTTGCATCCTCTTTCTTTAGCATCTTTCAAACTTCAGTCTCACCCTTCTTGGTAGAATTGACTGGATACTTTCTTAACTTCCTGCAACTGAGATGCTTGTCCTACTTGGGTAGGATTTATTCTATTCAGTCTGTATCAGGACCACATTATACTAGATATATAGGTTTTCCAATCTAAAGCTACCACCAGACACAGGGCAGGGGGTTTGACTACAACATACACACAGGTGAAGGAGATCCTGAGTTGCTAATGGTGCAATAAACACAGAGAGATTTTTTTTCTGCTTCCTGGGCAGGGTTTAAACCTGTGAACCACTCATGCTCCTGTTTTTGTGTGCAGTGTTCTACCAATTCTAACTGTAATTACAGGGGATTATTTTAAGGAAAGAAATCAATTCCATGAGATTTACTTGTTTATCAAAAATCTCCCTTTAATATCACTTAAGCTGTAGGTAATTGCTACCCTGCAGTCTCCTCTAGAATGCCTGTTTTGGTTATGCAGTAACACAAGTGTGCGGGGTTAGGTATTGATGTGACGTTCCACTTGAATAAACCATATTTAGGTATTTCTCTCTCTTGGACTGATCACTATCAGAATCCACTGCTGTAGCTTTCTTGAGCTAATCACCCTTGAGGTGGTATAGCATGACCGCCATCCTTTAGGCTCAGGAAAACTGAGCAGTTCTGTTCCCTGATTAGTCAGGGCATGTCTACAGCAGGGCTAAACTCGAAATAAGCTATGCAACTTGAGCTTAATTGCGTAGCGTAAGTTGAAACTGTGTCTACACAGTCTCTTTCAGGGGCGGAAGTTTTTTGTGGCCAAACCAGGGTGTTTTTCCCAACAAAAGTTATATTGTAGTGTTTGCTTTCATTGTTTTGTTGACAAAAGGCAGTTTTTGGCGACAAAATGTGTCAGTGTGGATATGGTCTTAGGTACAAATGAGAGCAGCTATTAGTGAGTCCATGGCTTTGTCTGTTCTAAGGTATTATTCAGTGTTGCAAAGATGAAACAATACATTTTCATAGGAGGCTTGGAGTGGAGCGAGCAAGCCATTCAAGATCTCGCTAACTAGTTTCTGACAGGAAAGGAACAGGAGGAGAGTTTCTTTTAATTCAAGTGCACAGTTCTGCTTGAAGGCATCTGGTGTTGTGCAGCTGGTTGCCAATAAATCAAGTTTTCTCTCCCATTTCATCATGGATAAAGAATTCTAACTCCAGTACAGTGTTGGAATCCAGCCAGCTCTGTGGCCAGTGACTCAGGAAGGAGGCCTGTTACTTCTCCCGGGGGCAGGTCAGCTGAAATGAACACTGACCCTCCCCACCTCCATGTGGCCTCTGGAAGCCAGTACTAACTCAGATAATTTGTGGACTCAGAAAGCCTCTAAAACCAGTCGCATGTTGTGTTTCAGTGGGGCCAACAGACTCTCAAGGCCCCTAGGCAAAGCAGCGGGGAGGGCTGGCTCCGTGCCCCCTGAAGGGGCAGAAGGAGCCTCAGGCAGAAGGGGCGGGCTGGGACTAACCTCCCCCAGGCAACCCTCAGCACCTGCTCGGAGTCAGGGCCTCATTCTGACTTTCGTGGGCCCCAGGCACTTTTGCCTTCGTGGGCCCCTTCCTCCATAAAAAAAAAATATTAAAAATTATTTTTGATACAACTTTAAATACTTCAACATTTTTTTCTGTTTTAGGCAAAATGTAATAGATTTTCATGGGCCCTAAAAGTTTCATTTTTTTCTGATGTGAGAAAAAAATTAAAATATTTTCTTCGACCCTAAAAGTTCATTTTTTTCTTCTGATTTTAAAAGAAATTAAAACATTTTCATGGGGCCCTGAAAGTTTGGTGGGCCCTAGGCATTGTGCCTTCTGTGCCTAATCGATAAGTCTGCCCTGCTCGGAGTGTGCCATGTGCAGCTCCAGAGGCAATTGAAAGGTCCCAGGGCTTCGTCCACCACCACTGTTGCAGTAGGAGCAGCAACTGCTTGGAGCCCTGGGCTCTTTTGAACTGCCAGGCCGTGGGGCAGTTGCCCCCAGCCTGTGGGCTGGAGCGTTTAACCAACAAGAAAATAGTTACGTGCAGTAATTGTGCTGTCAACAGCCTAGGTCCAGCTTCTTACACAACAGGGCTCGCTCTTGTGTGAAGAGAGCTCAGTTACACAGGACGTCACACCCTGTCCCTCAGATCTCTCTACAGCTAGCCCAACGCCCTTCCGGTAAACCTAATTTCACGAGGCATAATGGAGTGGTCGACAAGGGCTTCCCTTGTCGACCGCGGCATGTCCAGACTACTGCGCTGTGCCGCCAAACCGCTGATTGGCACTGTAAATGAAGCCTATGTCTAGTAAACTCATCTACATGGCTCCATCGACGGAGCCATGTAGTCTAGACACACCCCATCAGTTTAGGATTAAACGAAGACTGTGAATGGCTAGCCAAGTACAAAAGCAGCTTCTCCTCTCTTGGTGTTCACACCTCCACATCAGCCTCACCCTTCCTGACTGAATTCACCTCATTATCTCTAGCCTTATTGTGACCTGCATATTTAAACCTGCCTCTGTAGTCTAGACATACCCATGGTGTCAAATTTGCAGATGAACTGCAGCTCAGCAGTTTCTCTTTGAAATCTGGTCTTGAAGTTTTTTTGCTGCAGGATGGCTACCTTTAAATCTGCTACTCTGTGTCCAGGGAGATTGAAGTGTTCTCCTACAGGTTTTTGTATATTGCCATTCCTAATATCTGATTTGTGTCCATTTATTCTTTTGTGTAGGGACTGTCCAGTTTGACCTATGTATATTGCAGAGGGGCATTGCTGGTACATGATGGCGTATGTTATATTGGTACATGTGCAGGAGAAGTCAGAGAGTCAGAGAGTATGTTTTGGTTCCCAGTTTGGAAGAGAGCAGTATTTAAAATCTGGCTTCTGGCATGTGAAGTATGAGTTTGAATTCAGAATGTGCTCTTTAGGCTTTTATTTCTTCATACGACATGACAATGGGTGTGTGTGGTATAATAATCTGTACACACTGGAAACGATAGTCTTCAAATTTGTGTTTTTAGGAAAAATTCTGCCTGCAAAATTATTTGCTCGACTGTTTGTGGAGACTGGACACAAAAAGAGAACTGATGTAGTCACAGAAAATTTGCTGAAGCCCCCAGATGAATATTTGCAAAACAATTGTTTGCAGTATTCACGTGGCCTTAGTTGTGTCTTTGCTATTGGTGCGAAGTTCCATGTGGGGCACAGCATGACTGCTCTGAAGTCACAGGGAGCCAGGTTTGGTACAGTCATGTAGGGACATTTTCCATGGACCAGATTCAATATTCCTTCCTCCAGCCTCCAGAGTGTAGGAAATTCCCATCCTGCCAACTGTTTTATTAGATTTTATAACAGCTCCATATACACATTCACAGAATATGTAACTGGTTGTAAAAGCAAAGACTCATAACAGAGGCTGGCAGACTGGGATCTGATCTATACAGGCAGTCCCCGGGTTACGTATAAGATAGGGACTGTAGGTTTGTTCTTAAGTTGAATCTGTATGTAAGTCGGAACTGGCGTCCAGATTCAGCCACTGCTGAAACTGACCGC